AAGACATTTTTCTTCGATGAGCTTTTGCTATATTGTGTCCATACTATTACTATTACTATATGCAAAATGGTCAATACCTCCAAAGTAGAGCACTTTCTTCGACCCTAATTGGGCTCTACGATCCACCACACAACTCTATCGATGAAAAATCTTCAACACACGTTTTACCATTGAACGGTGAATGTAGATATATCGTGCAATGTCTCTTTGTGAAGAGCCATGCAAGAAGAGATATACAATACAACGTTTGAGATCGTGCTAATACTAAGAGGCTTACCCATCTGTGAAAATTACCGGTGTAGATTGCAAGGCAGAAAGGCAACTTAGAAAACTGTACTTCTAGCTTCTATATTCTTAGGACTGTTAATACTTTGTTGCTGTTTTTAGCTAACGGATTAGAGCCAAATATAAAAACCGTGCACAGCGATCAAGGTAATCGCTAGTAATCGCTGATAATCACAGGTAATAACTGTACTCTGAAAACAGTTCCAGGTTTTCACAAGAGTTCTCGCAGTCAGGTTTTAAGTAAAAGTGACTGCAGGAGTAGTTCACTTCAGAAATTACTAAGGCCTTCTCTGCGCGGTTATCATTATTTGCAACATTCTGTCCAAGGGAATTTTAAAAAAGGGCAATAATCTATATCGTATACGTCCTAATTATCAAAGACAGATCAAATTTCGGATCTAATGGATTGCCATCACTAGATTAAGCTTTATCCGAATGAGTGGGAATATATTGCATGACTTTCCATATTACGATTACTATCGAGTTGGTTACAGAATGCTCGCTGACCGTTTTCCATTATACCCTCACATTAAAAAAGGCCCACACCCAAGCTTTTCTCTTTTCGTTTTATTTTTATCGTTATATGCTCTGTCGGTTGTAAATATCTCTAGAACGTTTTGAACTAATACTTGATATAAGGATTTAGAAAAGGAAGTTAATAAAATGAAAGACCGAGGCAAAAAGGTTTTAACTCCGTGAGAATTAGAGAGAATAGAAAGATTAGAGTTAGAAATTAAAGAATGAAAAAAAGACAATGAGAAGAAGCAACGGAAGGGACAAGAACCAATTAAAGAAAAAAGTAAAGGAAAATTTTTTTCTGTTTTTTCTTTCGACAAAATCGATTCTTTTCGTTCTGTTTTTTTTTTTCCGTGGCTGTGTGGCTGTGCGCGAATTGAGTAATAATTCGCAATTTAATTCAAAACTTTTTACGAGAAAAGCAAATTAAATGTTTTCAGGAAGTAATTACTCCCAGACATTATATCGGAATCCTGATCAGTTAACAATTCCTCTAACAGTGGCTCAGACGAAGGATTATTCTGTTCCATTCTTCGCTTAGGGTTTTTTTTTATCCAACTAGGAAAGTTTTTTTGACTAGAATGATATGATATGTGTGATGACTGTTTAAGTAGTAGTTGGAGTAACTTGTCTAAGTGACTGTTTTGCTATAGTTGAAGGTCTCAGTATTTTTTAACTACAATTCTGTCCGTAATGAATGCATCTTTATGTAGGGTAATTATATTAAGATTTTCCCATGACAAACAGCAGCTTATTGTGACATATGTTGAGTAGGTGTTATTGTCTAGTATTAGGGTTACGTTTGGTAGTGTAAGCCTATGTCTTG